CAGACATTTTCTGGTACTTCAAAAGGTATTTTTTTCGTGAGGTCTCTAAAGCATATATTAACGTTATCGAAATGTTTTTTTTATTAATGTGATTATCTCGGTACTAGTGCCAACAGTTATAAATATCTTTCTGTACTGCCGTTACGGCTAATTCGTAATTTTTGTGCTCAAATACAATTACCATGCCATCTGCCTCGGCGTCCGTATGCTTTCTCGGCACAAGCATGTAACGAGCCGTTCGAGCGTATTCAACATATCTTTTACAAAAATATGCGGACCAGCCTTTCGAGGCACTTTGGTAAATACGGCTGCCGCAAAGGACAAAAAGAAAATCCAAATGAGGCTGTCTTTTTATCATATCTTTAACACTGCACATTTTCTAAGCATGCAACATTTTTTTGTGTTTTGATTCTAAGAGCAAAAGCGTAGTTCATCAGTCATTCAACGAAGTGGAGGGGGCTTATTTTCAGGTTAATGTAATGGGATCATTCGAATTCAAATACTACAGAACTGCATAAAACAGAAGCACTGATTATAGAAGCAATAAAGTCTGTATTTAGAAGTTTGCTTACACCTATGCTAAAAATGACAATAATTAATGAAGTGTATTTTAATGCATAACTTTATTCGAACAAATGTAGGCACCTTGTTGCAAAGTATTCTTCAATCAGCAACAGATGACACTGTCTCCAGAGCCAACAACGAGGTCGCTCAGGATTATCTCCCTGAAAGATAAGCGCTTCTTTAATATCATGACAGTTCGAAGTTGTAGGCACTTCTAATTCACTCGCTCTGCGTTCTAGTGCAGGAATTGCACACCCTCTTTTTTAAATTGCAATTTTTAAAATGTTTAAGTGTATTTATGTACGCACTGAGTGCACCAATGGTACAATTGTGGTTAAATTAAAAGTGGCAATTGTCAATGGCACGATTCAACTAGTAAAGCAGAAGAGAATAAACATACTACAAAGCGGAGCGTTCCGGGATCGGCTAACCTTAGCCTCGTATATCGCAAAACCTCAATAATATGCTTCAGTGTTTAAAAATACCGCTGTTAAAATATGACTCATAATCGTTGAAGTTTTGGGTTTCTTTTATTGAAATTACCCAACTAACACGTGGCACGCCAAGAGTGGTTATGACAGGAACAGCAGCATGGCAAGTAGTGACGGAGCTCGGACACAATTGACCGTCACAGTTTAATCAAACAATCAACTCGACATACTAGACTGCACTGCATCTGGAACATTCGGAGACTGGGGTTATCACATTTGAGTGCAAATTGTTTAAGCCTTGCTTTTAGTGTGGAGCAATGAATGATTGCTATGATAATAGATATGCTCCCTTGGACCAGTATGGACATGCTAAAGTTTTTAGTTTTGATATTATTATATGATGCTCGTTAGAGGACTCAGACGAGAAGTGTTACTGTGGTGATCAAATAGGCTCCTGTACAGTCATGAATCACATTCTTTGAACTCGAATGTTTGTTAACGTCTTCCGAAATAAATTCTGAATGGCAATGCTAGCTTTCATTAAAAGTAGTTATGATAAGAGAAGATAGAGATCAGGATCACATGTGACCTGTTGTTGATCGCTGTACATTAGTTATGGGTTATTGCTTACTCGATTTTTATTTGGCTGTCGGGACAGCGGCTCCCGTGGCCACTCACAAATAATAAAACACTGATATGGACGAAGGATAGACACTCACAGAACTGTGGGTGTTTCTTCCTTGTTCATTTCAGTGTTTTATTATTTCTGAGTGAATTACTCTATTACAAACCGTATATTGGGCCCACCAAGATTTCTTAAATGTTTTAGCATACCCTTAAAAAATGTTCGAGGGGTTTGAGATGCTTGTCGAAGTAATCTAGGACGCCTGGCGTTCCCTTTAAAAATTCTTAAAGGGTGCAAAAGACCCGTCATAGTTTTTTTTTTTTTTTTGAGGCCTGTGTTGTCACTCTTAATCCTTTCCGTGAAACCACAGCACCCATCACAACCGTTTTAAGGGGTTTCTGGAAGAGACCACGTGACCATTTAGAATATATATGTTCTTGGGGAGGCCGCTTGACCATTTTGTATCGGGCGGCTGCAACGAGTGTCGGAAATTGAGGAGACGTTCCCCCGTCCCTTTCCTGTCGTGACCTTGGTTAATGCGCCCCCTATGCTGTCTGTGTCCTGTGTTTGTGTTTCACGGCCTGGACTAGGGACGCCCAAAGACGCCAAGTCCTCGTTCACGAGGGGGAGAAGGTGCATGGAGAAAATGGGAAGGGGACTTTTTGCTATTTGTTTCAAGATAACCTGTTTTTAGTCAGTCGAAATGCAAACTTCGTAAAAAGCTGCTCGATCTCTTTTTTCTTCTTCTTTTTTTTTTGTAAACGAGGCCAAACTATATCCACGACAGCAAGCGGACGCTCAATGTCGGTTTCCCGTCCCATGCGTGGGACCTAGCTTCTAGAGAAGCAGGGTGTGCGTATCGAGGTTTGTCAGTGTACTGTTTTGGCGCCTCTTTGTCCGTCTGGCTTCAGAAGCATTCAGCGAGCGAAAAACACGACGAAGACGCCACCGTGGCGGCACCAGGGACGGCACCGTGATTGTGCTCAGGATTTCTCAACGGCGGCAAATGTTGGTTACACTTTCGTGGTTTTCGATAAACGTGCTACTGACAGTGCGAATGTGTGCGTGTGGTGCACCTGCTGAGTTGTCCCTATCTGGTCTGATCGCTTTTGTCTACAGCTGCTTGCGCCCGGGTTTGAGTAAACGTTGGTTCTTATTGTGTTTTTGAGTTACAACATGCATGTAAAACTAAATTTCTGACAGATTTTCGATAACGTTTAAAACTGCATTTTTGGTAAATGAAATTTGGGCGCCTAAGGGGTTAAAGGGCTAAGCGGATCTGAAATGCTGAAATGGTCTAATGGGAAGAAGAGGATTGAATGGCTGAAGGGGTTTGATGAGCTAAAGGTGTTTGAAGCGCTGAGACGGTCACATTACACATCAGGGCCGAACTCTTTTTTTCGATAGCGCATAGTTATTCCAAAGTGTTCTGCTACGTGTACAAAGACACAGATTAGACAATATAAAACCAAATCTACAATCTATATGTTGTTTCTAGGCAATACCAAAAAAAGAAGACTGAACTGATTTAAACTTAGCTAAAAATATGAGCCAATCACTTCGGCTGACATCACCGTGCTCTGTGGTATTTGGAGGACGGTGTTATCGCAATAGGGTGGATTTTCAACGTGGACCGAAGAATTTCCAACGTGGACTAAATGGTTAGACTGAAAACACCAGCTCAGTTACTTTAGAGCTGGAGGGGCGTGCGATTGTTTCATACTCCCTTATGATTTCTGTATGTTTATTATAAAACCCAGCCTGGCCGTGCCACTGTAGCGACCTGTTATACTTCCTATAGAGTCGTGAACCAAGTCTTGAATCTTAATGCGGATTAACGTCACTTTATATAAATTTTGTAACACTATGTTAGCTCGCCTGTCGGTGAATATTACTTACTGTATACTTAGCGGCCTGGAGCAGGGGCTCCCGCTGTTGAGCAAGCAGGCACAAATTATAAGCAATAGAAAACCACACTTGAATTTTATATATTTTCTAGATAATTAAATAAAAGACTTGACTGTTACTTTGTTTTAAATTTTATTCAATCATTTTTATGCAGGGGACACATATCGCCGCGATCTAAGGCATTTAGAGACCACGCTATCGCACTGCAGTCCAGAAGGTTTGAGCAAGATGTTAAATATTACTGAAGAATTAGACTTTAAAATACTAGCTCAGTATTTGTTTTTAGCTGTAATGGCTCTTATTTTGCATTCCTATGCGTGTGTGCTATTTAAGTTATCTTGTGTGCTTTTTTACAATGTAACTGATCATACTTTATTTGATGTTTCATATTTACGTCCAAAAATCTTTTAAAATTATTTTTTGTCGCACACTAGTTTTCTCAAACCACTTTTTATATTACACAAAATGTGCGTGCATGTGTTTGCTTGCTATTTACGTTAGAATTCATATTCAGGACTGTCATGGTCGTTGCCGGACAGAGAGTGAAGAGGAAAAACATTACGGAAGGGAAGAAAAAGGAGAATGAGGGGCTCGGGAGAGAGGAGTGGCACGCAGGGCTCGGGACAGTCGAAATCGAATCGCAGACCATCCGGGACGAGCACCATCGACCTCCGTCGGGGTTCCCATGCTCCGAGAGGCGAAACATCGGCCGAGACTCGAGCACACAGCAACGACCTCCGTCGGGGTGCCCAGACCCCGAGAGATACGATTGGGCTGCTTCCATGCGCTCGAGGCGCCGGCCCGTACGAGGTCGACTCAGCTGCGCGGAAAGCAACCGGCGACGACAAACGGAACCTTCAAGCCCCGGACTCCGTCCGACTCGCTGACCACCCGGCTACCCAAGTGACTGACTGCTCGACCCGGACGACTGACCGACTGCCCTCCGACACTCTGACCACCCGACCACCTCGCTGACCGCCCGACTGCCTGCTCCCTCAACCAATCAACGACGTGCGCTTTAAGTAAAACTTTTGTGCACTAATAACTCTAACGTAATTAGCATTGTACATATTCTTTTTACTCAATCGCACTTTGTTGGCCAGTGAAAGCTTATATAACGCATCCAAATTGTCTCCGTGTGATTACTTAACACCTCTCAATCACAACCGACATGACAAGGACAAAAGGTGCACCATTAATTAGCCCTTAGGGCTGCTTAGCGGCACACCTCCCCAAAAATAAAAAGTTAACAAAGAAACATATAATTGATTATATCAATATGACTGTATTTTTAATTATAGAGCCCAGCCTGGCAGTGCCACTGTAGCGACCAAATAAACTTCCTATAGACTAACATTGAATTACAATGTTAGCTTGTTTGATAGACATATATGATTAGCCGAGATAGAGGCAACACAGTAATCATTTTATTTAGTGGGGGATATTAGTAGGTGAGATTTGCTTACCAAAACCTGACTCGCCTGGCAGAGGATAGCCTGCGCATACAGACGCGCACAAACACGATTAAGAGAATATAAAACTGCACTTACTATTTATATCTGTTCGCTAGTTAATGCTTTAAAACAGAATCTCGACTGCTGAACCATCTGCGGGTCATTCTATGGATAAAAGAAGCCTGTGAACTCATAGAAAATATTTTTAATGAAAAAATAAAATTTATATTTTTTAATTTGATCTAAATATCTGGAATCAGCATAAAACCCGTGTAGTTAAGAAAAATACCGTGCGAAACGGCTGCCTATCACACAACTTTAGGTAAGCATGTAATTACTTAATAACAAGCCCTATCTTATAGTGAAACAAACATTGAAAGGCGCTTTTTTGAGTCCAAATAGGTGCTCCCAAATGAATATTTTATGTGATTTCTTTATTCGTTTAGTCATCTTCGCGTTAAGTGTTAGCTACAATACTTTTTTCGTGTGTTCTCATAGAACGCATAAGTGAATTTTACCTGTTAAAACTTTCGAAACCTCAACTTGGTGCGTTTTAATTAAGCGACAAAATATCCCTTTTGAGGAGAAACCGCATTTTGAAAGCCAGAGAAAGCAATGTGGGCATTGAGGCCCGCGACTTCCAAAATAGCCAAAAGTTCAATCCACCTCTATTTTTCAATATGTCAAAAAATATAAAAATACTTTTTATTGTTGTTTAGAATTTTTTTATGAGTTCTTTTTTTTTTTCATTATTATGCTAACAAGCGCCCGCCTTGTAGGCGACGCACGCTGGCGTTCGCCAACGAGAAGTCAGTGGGATGAGACGCCGTCGCTATGTCTTCCAACACTCTCCTGAAAACACCCTTTATTCAATTGCAGTGGACGTTATTCTAATATCCACGCATCCTTATCCTCTTTACCTTGCGTAATGATACCGACGTCTTAAATTCACTCTACTGCACAGGTAACCGCTGACATGCGCAGGCCTTCATTGTCCGCTTCCCGAGATTGAAAATGCATACTGCGCGTCGACCTCGTCTGTCGTATGTACAGATACAAAAACATTTCAGACCGGATAGTTCTTCACCGATTCAAAACGATAACAGCAATGTCGCTTCACCCTTGAACTTAAATGTATTTTGATAGATTTAAGATCTATAGAAGTTCGTTGTCGCATCCACCGAGGACGCGCTGCCGAGCTAGTTACGACTTCATGAAAACGACCACGTCGCTCTTCTAAGCGTCAATATCGGCAGGGCTTGAGGTAATCTTTTTGCGCGAAATATTAAAATCGGGTGTACAAACGCGAAAACTGGTTCATGAATATCTAAGAAACTACGCACACACAAAAACACGATTTGGAGAATATAGAACTGCACTTACTACTTATATCAGTTTTCTAGTTATAGAGTTTTAAAATAAATCCCCATCACAAGCTTGTAGCCATTAAGCCATTAGTATGAACAGTCAGTCACTGTGATTACTCGGTAACGTGGCGATGAAACCGCGGATTATTTAACAATGACACAACTCCCATTCTAACTTACTTCGAAACTGAACTCAAAAATGGGCTTAATCGACGAGCCACACATCATTGTGGTGTGATGTATTTGAAGGCCGAGATTTTTGCAGTACGGTTCAGAACGTTTGAGCAGTATTTTCGTCGTGCAGCGAAGCACTAGACTTCAGAACACCAGCCCAGTAAGGTTGAAGCTGGAAAGGCGTGCGATTGTTTTACGCTCCTATATGATTTCTTGATGTTTGTCATATAACCCAGTTTGGTAGTGCCACTGTAGTGACCAGACAGTCTTCCTATGGAGTCGTGAGCCAAAATTCTTCAACGTCAATTCGAATAAATTTTGTTATACAATCCTTGCTCGCCTGATAGGTAGTTATGATTAGCCGAAATAGGGGCTAGCATCGCATATGATATTTTGTTTAGCGCTGCACCTTACTGCGTGAATATCACTTACGGCCTGGACGAGAGGGAGGTCCCGCTGTTGAGAAAACAATCAGAAATTATAAACAATATAAAACCACACTTAAATGTTATGTGTTTCCTAGACAACTTTAAGAAAAACAAATTGAAATAACTGATTGTAACATAGTTCTAAATTTATATCAATCATTGCCATGCGGGGCCCATATATCACCGCGGTCTAAGGCATTTCGAGACCGCGCTGTCGCACTACAGTTGAGAAGGTTTGAGCAAGAATTTTAATGTTACCGAAGAATTAGATACAAATCGTGCTCAGTATTTTTTAGCTGTAAAGTTCACCCTTGCTTCGCGCTCCTATAGGTGTTGGCTCTTTAAGTTGTCTTTTGTGCCTTTTTTTTTTACAATGGCGCACATCATTCTTTTTATGTTCTATATTTACCTTCGATAACACGAAGGAAAAATCCATCAATGTAACCCTGTTTGGCAGTCAATGTTTTCTAGTGGACCGCTGACTGTGCCTGACTGTACGTCAAGCATGTCTGATTGGCCAACAAGTTACTCTGACCGACAGTCAAACTCCAGTCAGACTCCGCTTGTCGGCTTTCTGATGGTTTCTTGGTGGCAGTCGGCCGCCGCAAAATGCCATCAGGATGTCTTGGTGGCGATTCTGATTGTACATCGACTGTCTCTGACTGTACGTCAAAACGCTTTGACGTGCAGACAGACGCACGGTCAAAGGACGTAAAGTTCGTTCGGATACCGCTACTCGTCAAATCTATGAATACGAAAAGTAATCTATGAACGAGAAAACGATTTCGGGACGTGAGCCCATAAAACCGCTGACGTTGGAGATATGACACGCAACCGACCGACAACCTTGATCAGAAGTCCGCCGAAGCGCCAAACACGACACTTCGCTTTTCCCGTAGAGGCTTCGCCGAGCTTTCATGAACGATTGCTCTCGACTCGTTTTGTTTGCCCGCTTGCTCCAACCTGTTGATCCTGCCCGGGCTCTACAATGTCTCATGTTTTAGTAGAATTTCTACTCGACAAGACCCAGCCTGTTGTGAGTTCCGACGATGTAAGGGACTTTAGCAGTGTAGTTGAAGACAACAGGGTGTACCAGGTCTACTGGGCCGGAGACGCGCGAACAAAAGGATCGTTCTACGACGGGAAAGCACTCTACATGGCAGGTGAGTAGAACTGAAGTACGGCGAGTGATGTACGAGTGCTTTGCATTACATGCTGACGGCGTAACTGTATTTGCAGCCTGCAGCCGAAGCATCTCGTGTAAAACGAATAGTCAAATCGAGTTTCCAAAGCGGTGGCATGGCATAGGGATGGATTCCACTTCCGGCCTCTGCCGAGTACGGACGTGTGATAACATGAGCTCCGACGGAGCGGTAAAAACGGCCGCGTCAGGCCGTGGTACGTCTGTCTTTGATAACGCTGAAGATTACAAGATTATCCTGCCCCAACTTCCCACTGGTTATGTTGTGACGAACGCTGTATTTTTACACTGTGATGTGAAAGGAAGGCCGTATCGCGTGCAAGATTTTCGTGACGAGCTGCAGCGGCTGCAAGTGCTGAAGGACCTGGCCTCAGCCGGTCCGCATCAGATGAACCACGTTTGGATGCTGAGGCTGCACTCGCTAGCGGCGAAGCAAACGTTGTTGGACTCGAAGGAGCTGACCATCAAGGGGGGGCGTTGCCTCGTCATCGACCCGGCGAACACTGCGGTGAAGCTCAAGCTCCACTGGGTACCGTACGACGTTCCCAACGGCCAGGTGAAGAAGGAGTTGGAGCGCTACGGCAAGGTATCTGAGATAACCAGGGACTTCTTCCGGGAGAAGGGGTTTGAGGCTGTTGAGTCTAACACCCCAAGTGTACGCATGACCCTTAAGGAAGGCTACACCGTGGACAGCCTCCCCCACGAGATGCGCCTGGAAGGGTGTAAGGTCCTTGTCGTCATGCCCGGACGCGCTCCGCTCTGCCTTCGCTGTCGTCGTACGGGCCACATTCGCCGGGACTGCCGCATTCCCCGCTGCTCCGACTGCCACCGCTACGGTCATGAAGCAGAAGATTGCGTAAAAACGTACGCCTCGATGGCCCGAGACCGTAAGGTCGAGGACAACTCCGACTATCTGATGGACGGTATCGAGGCGGAGGAAGCCGTAGGAGGGTCGCCTCCAAGCGACGTGCTGCCGATAGAACAGAGAGGGGCACCCACATCCAAGGACGACGACAACCAGGACGCAGCGTCACAAGCGCAAGACTCTGAGAGGACGACACGAGGTCGAGACGCGCGCTAAGACAGAGCCAAGCACCGCCTGCCCGAGGAACAAACGCTGTCCGCAGGCGGACAACCTGCAACGGTGAACAGCAATCCCGGGGGTAAGAGCGGCGACGTAGGAGCGACAGACGAACAGGGCTCCAAAATGGACGCCAGCCAAACGGTAAAGCGGCCGAGGGAGCCAGCGGCAACACCTGACGGCACTGGCCAGGAGGCCAACCAAGCGTGGCCTACGCTCGAACCGCTCGGACCCAAGAAAGGTCGGGTCACGGTGAAGCCGCGTATCCCGCCGGATGATCGCCGGAGGAAAGACTCTTTGTGAGTGGTCTCGGTAACTACGGCATTGCGAATATTCGGTTTCTTTTTGTTCGCGTTTACATTCTACGGCGCGTACGGTCCAAAGTATTTTTTTCTGCTAGCCTACCTGGTTGTTTTTTTTTTTTTTTGTCTAGCCTCCCACTCAATTCGTTGATGAACCTTGAGCGATCATTACGTGTAGGCACGTTAAACGTGCGAGGCTTATGTGCCAAACGTCGTCAGTACCAGGTAAATCGCTTATTTATAGAAAAAGACCTGGACGTGGTCGCGGTTCAAGAAACGAAAATGGAAAGCGAGGCCCAGACAGAGAATCTGGTGCGACTTTTTGAAGCAAGGTACGACGTGTGCGTCAGCCACGCTAAGGGGACGTCGGGAGGTTGTCTTTTATTTCTAAAAAAGTGTAGTGGGACCGTTGAACAAGTGATTAGCTGCGATGCAGGCCGACTTGTGTTATGTGATTTTGTTATTTCTAATTTCAAGTTTCGTGTTCTGTGCATATATGCCCCTACAAAGGTGGAGGAACGCGTAGTTTTTTTCGAGCATATTGAAAGGTATGTCAACACAGATCGACTGGTAATTCTGTTGGGGGATTTTAATTGCGTTTGTGCGCCCCAAGATAGATCGAACAGCGCGCGGTATAGAGATGCAAGTTCAGTTATGTTAAACGATATGCTGGATCGATATGAATTAGAGGACGTAGCTCACTGCGCGTCAAGTGGCAGGCATATACAGTACACGCATTTCCAGGGCACGAGTCACGCGCGATTAGACCGGGCTTACGTTTCCCTCGAACTTATTAGCTCTTGTAAACAATATTCAGTCGACCCCGTGTCATTTAGTGATCATTCCCTTGTCTCCTTTTTAATTTGTTCTTCTAAAGAAACGCCTAAGAGGTTCGTTTGGGATTTATGGAAATTTAATACGAAGCTTCTAAATGATGATTTCTTTTTAACTGCGGTGCGTCACCAGCTTCAAGAATTCGTAAACTCTCAAGGGGAAGGGGTTGGGGTTAAATGGGAACTGTTTAAACAGGAAATTAAAATGATAGCCATAGAACGATCGAGTTTATTGAAGCATGAGGAAAATAAGAAAAAGAGTGAACTAAAAGACCTGCTGCAGACGGTAATGAAAGAAAAATGCCGCTCGCCCGGTTTTTTCACGGACGAGATTATCAGTATTAAAAAGCGCTTGGAAGTTCTGGACAACGAACAATATAAGGGGGCTATGGTGCGAGCGAGATGGAAGCGGGTGTCACTTGGCGAGATACCCACTAAAAGGGCTATCGGGGAGGAACGAAGATACGCGAGTAAAAATGAGATACGCGAGATTACGTATCGAGGGGTTCTGTCTGGTGATAAGGATTTCATCGAACGCGCGTTTGTGGAATACTATAAACAGCTTTTTAGTTACCGCGCGCCCAAAAAGAAGGGATTTCGAAGCGTTTATTTGCCGTTGATGCCCAGACTGGCAGACGACATAAAAGAAAAGCTAGAGCTACCCATATCGTTGGCAGAAGTAGAACGAGCCATCGACCATTTAAAACCCGGAAAGTCACCCGGTCCTGATGGTTTGGGCGCTGATTTTTATAAAGCATTCAAAGACAAGCTTGCCCCCGTTTTGCATGATGTGTTTTCCGAAGCGTATCGTGTAAAAGTTTTTCCTCCTCCTTTTTTGTGCACTCATACGATTTTTATACCGAAAAGTGATGATCCAGTGAAACTCCGTAGTGTAGGAGCGTATCGCCCAATTACTTTGACGAATGTAGATTATAAAATTTTGATGAAAATATTAGCAGAGCGGATGCAAAGTGTGATAAGCGTTATTGTCGGCCCGCACCAGACTTGTGGTATCAAAGGACGAAGTATTGTTACAAACGTTCATGTGGCAAGAAGCATTCTGGAATGTTGCGATAGTATGGAACGGAGAGTCGCTATGCTACAGGTCGACTTGGAAAAGGCCTTCGACCGTGTGTCACATGATATTCTTTTTTCTATTTTAGATCACGTCAATGTTGGTTCAGTCTTGTGTGAAGGAATACGTCTGGCATACCAAAATTGCGCCACCCGTCTTGTGTTGAACAAACGTGTGAGTGAGCGTGTTGGTCTTTTTTCTTCTGTGAGACAAGGATGTCCACTTTCGCCTCTGCTTTTTTGCATTTTTCTTGAACCCTTTTGTTTAAGCATTCTTCGTAGTAGTTTCGTTAGAGGTTTTAATTTACAATCCACTGAAGTACGGATTTTGTCATATGCGGATGATGTGGCGATTTTTTGCGTCGACCAAAAAAGCGTGAAGAAAGCCATAGAGTTGACGGAACTGTTTTGCGAACATACGTGTAGCGCCGTTAACTTTGAAAAGTGTTTGGGCATTTGGCACGGCGATTGGCCTTCCAAGCCGAGTGTGTTTGAACGCGTTGTATGGTCCGACCTGCCATCTCGCTATCTTGGTGT